TCGGTGACAGTGATTGTTAAACAGCTCTGATAAATTATATTCTAGGAGATTAAGTACTATTTTGATTTGTCTTTAGGTTAATAACAGACATCTGATCAGATGAATGTGCGAAAATCACACTGGATAGCCTTTACACATCTCATTTACTAATCTGACATGCTGTAGAAAAATGTTGTCTACATAATATATTTTTGTCATTCTTTGTATTTCATGACCAGTGTATGTTTTGTTATTTTTGTTACTGATTGGTTCTGAAGAGATTCATGACAGGCCTGAGGGTCAAGCAATTGTATGCAACATTAATAACATGACCTTTCCCTTTCTACAGGCATAATAAAAAACGGTGGTGTGAAACCTAACATCATTCCTTCTTACACTGAAATGGAGTTTTACTTGCGTGCCCCTTCAGTGAAAGATCTTTCTCTTCTGACAGAGAAAGTTGAAAACTGCTTCAAAGCTGCAGCAGTGGCCACAGGATGCAAAGTAAGAATGTCTTTCTGGTATGCTGGAGGTGAGGTCAGCCAGAATACAGAACTGAGGTTTACAGCATTCGTCTGCGTGGTGCTTAGCTGAAGTTAATCTAAATGTATATGACACTATTTGCTCTTCTGTTGCTTTGTGTCCTGAAAACAAGCTTGGGTTTATAAATAGAATGCCACAGAATCACCTAATCTATATTGCATTGGAGGAGACCAGTTCATGTGCCTGGATGTGGACCCTAGGAGGATTTGGTCCATAGTCTCCTCAGTAGTTGAGGATAGATTTAGCAATCGACCATTAATGGCTGATTTCACTTAGCATTCTTCCCACTTATTTTTAATTTTAGTAAACAGTGATTCCTGTACCTGATCCAAGCTATGTGATTACCTTACAATGTATTGCTAAGATCAGTGGTTCTGCTTGCTCTGTAGTTACAGACTAGTGCCTTGGCTATCTCTGAAAACATCCTTTTGTCAAAAGTCTGTCACCAGAAAAAAATGTCTGTGCTAGATATGAATGTGAACTAGGGAATTTTAAGGCCTACTTACAGAATCAAGCTGGTTACCTACTGTGGTCTCCACTCCCTCTATAAAAAGCTTTGAAAAATCTAAATAGAAGCTAAGGTCTCTTGAAACTTGACACCAAAACTTCTTTGCATTTATTTTCAATCATTTTTCCTGTGTCAAGCCATTCTGTAAACATTGATGGAGCTGCAATTATTGGGATTGTTCTTAACCTAAAAATAGTAAAATAGAATTTGATACAATGTTGCCTACTATTTTTAGTTAATGATAGTATGCTCAAAATTCATGCTTAATTTGACAATCTTATGGAAGCTTGATGAAAATCTTCAGCTGGATGTGGATCAAGGATAGTATTTGGCTAAATGAAGAGAGTTTATTAAAATGTTTGGAAGGAGATGTAGCACTTTGGAACACTTTGGTCTGCTTTGATAGGAGTTAAAAATGTGGTCAGGTACTTAAAAGCACAGTTTAGGTTAAACTGGTTTAAGTTGAGGAGTAATGTCTAACTTTTTTTTTTTTTTTTAAACTTTCTTAGGTGGAAATAAAGGGTAGTGAGCATGATTACTACAATGTGCTTCCAAATAAGAGTCTGGAGAAAGTTTACAAGGAAAATGGAAAGAAGCTTGGAATAGAATTTATTTCAGATGACTTGATTTTGAATGGTTTGTCAGGTAACTCGCATCTGGCACTTTGTTGTTATGACAATTTTGGATTGATCAAATCCCAAGTGTATAAAATAATGGGCTAGATGTAGGCTAAGTATATGCTGGTCAGAAGAATAAAATCAAATTAGAAAATTGAAACCTGAAAAGGATCTTACCTCTAGCCTGTGTATTTGTATTTTCTTTGGAAGCTGAGAAGTTTCCATGACAAATAGGAACAGTAATAATCACTGAATATTTCATGTAAGAAGTGTTTTGGTTGTGAGGAGTTGTAAGGAAAAGCTGTCTTACTGAGAACATTAGTATGTGGAATGAACTGAGGCTCATAATTGCTTTGAAATACAGAATCACTATATTATTCATAGGAATGGAGACAAAATTTAGTTTTTAGGAACATTATTTAATAATTTCGTATAAACCTACTGCTAAACAAATCAACTAGCAATTAACTGATAATTTGAAGGAAGTTTGTGTAAGCTGCTTTAAACATCTTAGTAACCATGATTAAAAACAACACCACCCTGCTTTCTGTTATCAGGTAATTCTATGCCTCTATCTTTAGTTCACGAATTCAATAGATTCATTTTCCAAAGTATTCCATTCAACTAGGTGCTTGTTTCTGGGTCCAGACTGATCCAAAATGTCTCAAGCTATTAAACTTTCTTGATCTCCTAGGGCTATGGTAGCAATGTGAATTTTTGCATGTTTTGATGTTACTAGTTACCACTAGCAATTTTTTAGAATCTTCCTACAGGAAGTCTCTTAAAGTGTTTTTGTTGTTGTTGTTGTTGTTGTTGTTTTTAAAAGTTATTTTAACTATGAGAATGCTACTTCAGCATTCTTACTCAAAAACATGAATGCCTGAAGATGCTCATGGCCTTCACTACTGATCATATCAAACCATTTTTACTCCTCTCCTGTTAAAGGTGCTTCTTTTTGCTTAAAGATTTTTTCAAAAACATTTTTCAAAAATATTTTTTTAAATTTTGATTGTAAATGGTTGGATTGCAACACTAACCTTCTCATTTCAGAAAATATAGTTTATCTTTAAACAGTTGGTGTCTAAGGCATTTGACAGGGGTGCAATTTTTCAAACTTCCAGTTGTGTTTGGGGTGGGGGAGACAGCACATATAACTGTATTCTGGTTGCTTGTTTCTTTTGATTACTCTTCTAAATTAAGGCAGCACTAGCATATTTTTTCTAATTTGCAGGTTGTCTTAGGTTTAGAAGCAGATAATTATAACTAAAGATAGATTTCTTTATTGGTCTTTCAATGTGCTATAAACAAGATTCACTGCTTTGTTCATTTGGCCTTAAAAAGGAGCTAAAGTAACTGGTTTTCCTGTCTCTAGAATGCTAATTGTAGTGAAATTTCTGGAGCTGTACTAGTTGCTTTCCTCACAAACCAGTTAAGTGTTTTGAAGACCATGAATACTGGTGATCTGGCAGTTTCAGAGGCCTTTTGGGTGAACTTGGTACAAACCTAATCGTAATACAGTAGTGCTTTCAGATGCAAGTTACAGAAAGCAGCAAGTGCTAAGTGTTAACTTGTTTAAATTGAAATTCCCCATATGTCTGCTCTTAATTGCTTGTCAAATTGAGCTTTTTCTCATACTGCAATTAGACTGTATTGAATTTTCTTCCCCCAACACAGCTCATCTGAATTTCGTATGCTACCCTTTCTGGGGGGCTTGAGTGTTTTATCTCATCTTTTTCAAGACCTCTATTTCTGTTCAGTTTTCATATGGTTTTCAATGTTTTCTTTTAGGATGTCCCTTTCTTCTGTTGAAAGGGAAGGAAGATAGCTCAGTTGCTTCTCCATGTCTGTGCAGCAGAAAAGTCGTTAACAGATGAGCATACTCGCTGCCACCTCTACATGGGTATTAGTATCGGTCTGCTTACAGGTATCACTCTAGGCAGCTAAGTGTTTTTGAAGAATTCCTTTAGTTCATCAAATTACATTGCCATGTGGAAGGCTCCACTTGCTGGCAAACAGCCTGAGTGCTGTAAAAGAGTGTGAATTTGAGTTGGCTTTGACCAGGTGCCATGACCTATTTCTCTGTGTGCTATTAGGGTAGTTCTACCCTACAGGAGTAACTCTATAGGAGTACAGTATCCTGCCCATGCAAATGATTAGTAGTGCACATTCTAGGCCCCCACACTCGTGATAACTTATTTTGATATTGTTAACATTCATTAGCTTCTTGTGCACAAGATTGTTATAGATGATGTTAAGAGGGAGTCATTATGTTCTGAAAATACCGAAGCTTAGGACTCTCTAAAAAGGCTTCCTGAAATCTTTCCTTTCTTCCCTCCTTTTATGTTTGTGGCAATTAGGTGATTCCAGAGTTGACCAGGTTGCAGTATCGGCTACAGGGCATTCCTCTGAGAGGCTGCAGCTCCTCATACCCTTCTGTTGAAGGCAGTGCACAATGTGGGTGTTGTGCTGATAATTGCCACTCTGATCCATCCACCTCCAGCACGTGTATAGCTCCAGCTGTTTGTAGGGGGACTGTGGAGCAGCTGATGTTTTAAATGTGTTGGAGGTTATGGTTAAGAGCTTAACAGTTTTCTCATAAGTGAAAATGTGAGCATCACACTTTTATTAAAAGCTGTTTGTATTTTCAATTGGTAAGCGCTAAATTTTACTGGAAAATGACCAGTTAGATACTTCACATTTAGCAAAAATAATTTGTAAGTTGGTAGAGGTGTGGATATGAACCCCGATTCAAGTGGAACTACGTGGTTGTGAGATGCACTGGAAATTTCTAATGCTTCATTTGCTGAGTGAAATCAGGGAAAAAAATACTAAAGTCTTTCCAGCAGCTATATGTTTTGGAGGTTATTAAAGCAAGTCTGGAACTCTTGGTGTAGTTTGGAGTAAGGAGAACTCCTAGGCTTCCATTTTGTTTTTCTAGACGGATCAACGAATATATCAACAGCATAGACTATTGAAAACTAAAATAACAAACTGCCGTGCTGACAGTTGGATTTTATTAAAGTCTGTAGATATTTGAATGTAAAGGTCTTCGTTTGAACAATTTTTTTGGCTTCTATTTGTATATATGCAGAACAAATAGCAAGCTAGAGTCTTGGCATCTCTGATCACAATGTGCAGGTTTTGTGGATTTGCATTTAATCATCTCTCCGTAAAAAGTAATACCCTCTCTCCAATAAAGTTACTGTGATAAGTCTACTTAGGGGCTAGAAATAATTTTAAAATCTTTGGAAAGAGCCCTTTCATCTGCTAGTTCTAAAGGAAAATCTCTTGCATCTCTTGATGAACTTAAAAAAAAAAAAAAAAAAAAAAAAAAAGGACATCTTTTAACTGATCATTCCTTTTCCCCTCCACCATTGAACAGGGTGATTTTTTGCATCCTCTCATGCCAGAATTTTGTTATAACCATGTGTTGATTTCTCAAGTTTCTAATATAATTGTTATAAATAGAGGAGAACTTGACACTGTGTTTAGTTACTGCGTGGACTGCTTGATTGAGTAGAAAAAGGAACGCTGGAAGTAGTTGCAGCTTCTTGGATGACTTGGATGGGGGAATCTACTGCTTCTACATGGTATCTTTAAGTGAATAATGAGCCTTCAAGATGCATACTGTCACTAGCTAACGTATTGGCAATGCTAATTATGTATTAAAACAAAAATGTCATTTAGATTTGCGGTATCGCTATCAAGAGTTCTCTGCAAACCATTCCTAACATATCTTGAGTTCATTTCTGATACTGCTTTTCTCAAGTGCTTGAACTGTTAAGGGTTTCTGTAACGGAATAATCAGAAAGTATAGATAATAGTTGTCCTCAATAGTTGTCAATCTATTTTTGCTTGAAGATGGTATTATAGAATATTCATACCTCAGAGTCCCCCTCCCAACCCTCCGGAACACTTGCACACTGTTGAAAAGTAGTAACTTGGGCCTGCAAAGCATCATGTTGGAGATTGTCTCTTGGTAGCTGTTGCTGGGTTTGAAATAAATGCGCAGCCTGAATCTCTAAGGTCTGGAGCTTCCATCTTTTTGAATTAGCAATTTACTGTCAGGAAACACTTCATGAAAAATTTAACAGTAAATGGGTATTGATTAAAAGTGCAGTAGAGAACAAAATTCGGGGATATCTAATCAGGGAAAACTCACCTCAGTGGCAGGAGTATTTGTATGGGTAGAGACTACTTAGAAATGCTGAAAGCATTTGAGACAAAGGATAATCTGTTTTAGATAGACTGGAGATAAAGTGTGTATCATACATTTTCTTACAGCGTTTAGAACTTTTTAACATGTATTAATTGAGAAACTTGCCCCATTCCTTCTAGGTTCTACTGACTTTGGGAATGTAACATATGTAGTTCCTGGACTTCATCCTTATTTTTATATTGGCTCGGATGCATTGAATCATACTGAGCAGTACACGGAAGCAGCAGGTGAGCTACAGTGGAAAGGGCTAGGAGTTCAAATGGAGAAATCTTCAATGTTGTAGTGGCTCAACTACAGCAGATCTAGATATTATAAATATTTGGAATTGCAGGAGATTAAAGCTTTCTCATGCTTCTGTGGTATTCAAGATTACTGAAGAGTAAAGCTGTAGTAAAAGCATGAGTGCTAGACTTGAACATGGCTATATTTCCTGTGCAGCAGTGGAGTCAACTTCTTCAAGCATGAAAGGATCTGAGCTGCATTCTGACCCCAAAAGAAGTAACTTAGTTAATTGCAGAGTTGCAGAAAAAAACAAGCTGCCAGTGTCTAGAATATCTGGGCTTGTATTTGCATATGAGAAAACTTACTGCTCGTGGTGATGGAACATTCTCTAAAAGCCTGAGGAGTTTTCAATATGCTATCTAGTAAGAAGAAATGACAAAGCTTAGCTCTACTAGCATATTCACAGAAGGATTTCTAGATGTGAGCCTATTAAAACTGAGATAAAAGTAAAAAAAATCTGCTCTAAAAGCACAGTGCTCTGGAAACTTAACATAAACATAGCTTAGAACTCTTCACTTCCAAAAAATAGAAATGTGAACACTTTCCTTTTCCTGCTGTCTTGTTTAAAGTAGTAGGAGGAAGTTAAATACTTGCATGGGAAATTTTTGGGGGCTTTGGAAAATAGGCCTACTTCATTCAGGCAAACAAAATTGTTTTAAATGTTCTTGCAATTTATACTCCCATGATCTTATTTCATAAGCAAAATATACTTTTTGCAAAAACTTAGTGGTTCTATAGCAAGTGGTGTAATATTTAACCTGAAATTTCTCTTTATTTTTCTACAGGGTCACAGAAGGCACAGTTCTATGCATTGCGAACTGCAAAAGCACTGGCAATGACAGCACTGGATGTAATTTTCAAGCCAGATCTGCTAGAAGAAGTTAGACAAGACTTTAGACAGATGAAACTAAGAGAGGAGGAGCAACTAAACTCAGCAGAACCAGGCAAAGAATCTGGTCTTGGCATAGGAGCTGCGTGTGCATCACGTTAAACTCGGTCTGTTCCCTACCTTAGTGGGGATGACTTGATGGAAAGAGTTCCAAAAGAGTCTGGATAAACATAGTTGAAGATTTTTTTTGTACTTTAAGGGTAGAAAAACCAATAGTATAATTCAAAAAATGCCTAATTTCATGTAGCTGTGATGTTTGCTGTATTAAATATGATAATTTTGGAGATCATTTTTCAGTTACAAGGTTGAATAGTTGATAGTTTGGCTCTCTTGTGACAGTGATTGTTCTCTGCACTGCTATAGAAATATCCTTTATATGAACAATACAGATTTCATGTGGACATGTTTCTACTAAATAAGCATTATTCCTTCATTGACCATAGGCCAAACCTGACCTACCAAGCATTTCCACCAGGCTGGTTGCCTTCCCTGGAAGCAGGCAGAGGGGAGCATCAGCAGCCAGGCTCCTTGTGGCAGGTGTCGGTGCGCTGGAAACCCGAGCTGCTCCATCCAAGAGGAGGATGTGCTGGGAGGCAGGCCTGGCTTCGACAGCAGCTGTGGATTAGGGGGGACTGTTTGTATGGAAGCAGATTCTGTCGGGGTTGGACTGTCCTGAAATGCACTGACCTTCACTCCCAGTGAATTATTCGATGGATGCTTGAATCCACAGTCAGATGGTGGTTGGGCTCTGAGCTGTGGATAAGTTGGGTGCTGAGTCCAACTGAGATGTTAGATTAGATCATTTTTACTGATCGTTGTTAAACTTTGTCTAAAGCACTTCCTTGGTGATTAATTTAAGCCCTACCTTGCTAGATCTTGGCTGTAGTTTGTTATTCAGAAATTTTTACTGTTTCCTCCTGTATGAACTGTTCAACTTCTTCCTTAGAAGGCTTTAGAACTTCATTCTTAGAGGGCATTACAGTCTTCTCCGTTCTCTTCAGCCCAACTGTTGGCTGCATAATTAAGTTAAATGATCTGATCATTCAATTAAACATCTCTGCAATAAAAGCAAATTTTAAATATGATAAACTGCCAAAATGAGTCGTTATGTTCTGTTAAAGCATTGATTTTAATGGATTGTAAAAATAATGGCGAATTTTAGGATTAATTTATATCCCTTTCTGTGCTAGCCTGCAGCGTACTCCTTGGTGTTGGAGGCACTTCACTGCATTGCTCACCAGAGATCCCTGCATTTCATGTTACAGCGGGGCCTCCGCAGTAGTGGGTGTAACTTCCTAAAGTATTAATGTTAAAGGTAACCTCAGGCTCTTACACTGTGGCTTTTCCGTGGTGTAAACTGAGTGTGTTGAAGGTAGGTGGAAAAAAGAATGGAAAAATGCCTACACCCTATACATGGGAAATGGAAAAAAGAAAAGTCTTACTCAAATACTGCACACTTTTAATTTCCC